CCGCCACAGATTCCACATGAATAGATACAATTTTAGTTGGAAGCCTTTTACTTTACTGCTAATCTTCATTTAAACTACTTTGTGGATCAGACTTCAGTTGAACACCGGACGTGCACGAGTCTGTTCCGAGTCTATACTTCTATTTTACATTTATATATATATATATATTTATATATATATATAGATATAATCTACATATATATATATATATATATATATATATATATATATATATATAGGTATATATATATATATATATATATATAATATATATATAATATATATATATATATATATAATATATTATGGATAAAGATATATCCTGATTCAGAAGCTAGTTCTAAAGAGTTCAGAGAGTAGCCTTGTGCTCTTCTTCAAATAACCGCTATCCCATGATTTTAATTTCTTTTTTTTTTTAATCATAAATTCAACAAGTTCCTCCCTGGGCAGTCACTGACTAGTGGCGATACCATGTGTTTCTTTCTGTCATTGGCATTTGTTGCGATGGATGTACCATCTGATGCACTTTACAAAACCACATAAGCTGATTATCTAAACACTACCATTTCGGTGTCCCTGACCTTGATTTAACGATGACTCTATAGAATAAGCTGTTCATTTTTAATTACCAATTAATTTTCTTTTAAAGCTTTCAGTCCCAGACAACGCCTGATACGTTAACAACTTTACAGTAGATTTACCTCCATAGCATAATGTGTTCTCTTAACCCTGTGGAGACGACGCAGCTGAAACATCGGCCCAAAGCAAAGCAACCAAAAGGACGGCTGGGCCAATCGGTCAGACCTGTTTAATAAAAGCCTTCATATTGGCTGGCAAGTTTTCGCACTAGCCAGTCAGACTACTTCTCGTGCATTTCTTGCACATGTGGGCTGTTCATTGACTGCTTTCGAGAAAGTTTGATGTGTTCTGTAATTTTACATCAACGTTTTTCTGGGGTTACCTGTGCTCAACAGTAGCCAAAAGGACTGTTGCATCATAGCAACTGAAACATGGCTAGAGACAGGAAAATGAGTAGGACCATGTGCCAGATGTGTCCAAAGGGCCACCTAGGCGGCCCTACTCTCTCTCTCTCTCTCTCTCTCTCTCTCTCTCTCTCTCTCTCTCTATCTTTCTCTCTCGCTCTCTACATATATGAGTTTGTGTGTGTGTGCGTGTATATATATATATATATATATATATATATATATATATATATATATATATATATATATATATATATACCTGTATATATATATATATATATATCACACAACTACCTGCCTCTGCCTACCTGCCTAACTGCATACCTGTCTGTCATCTGAATGACATTTTCAAGTTAATTTTCTCTCGGAATTCGAACGCTGTTTTGTAAACCGAATGCCTGACACGTGCCGATAACGCGACTGAGCTGACAGTGCAACAGCTGCACCTGCACCAACAGCAGATCGAAGAGACGTATTTAGGGGGAAAAGAGGGAAAAGCTCGAAAGATATCATTGCTGTTATTTAAAATCTTTTGACTGTGTCATTGAAAAAGCAAGAAGTTGCTAGAGAGATGGCACCTTTCGCGAACGCCATAGCAGTTTGGAACGCAGGGGGTCAACAAAAACTAGTGACCCCAAACCCTGTGCGAGTGGTGAATGACTAAAATATGAAACAGCAGAAAGGATCCCATACGTCATGATTAAAGGTGACCTACCTTCCGAATAATAATCTCCCTAAACCCTCCTTCGTCTTCCTACTTCTAAATTCTAATCACCATTTTGATCATCATTTTTGAATGATGCGGCGGAGAACAACTAAGGCAATTACTAATAAATTGCATACATTCATTAACTGGTGCCTGTGCAGAATAGAGGGAATTAAATGGTATGATAGAATAACTAATATGGGGCTTCGGGAGAGAACTAGGCTCCAGTGGACCAAGAGGTGAGGTAAAGACGCTGGCGTTGGATAGGACACACACTGAGAAAACAGGAGAACAGCATAACTAGAATGTCTTTGAACTGGAACCCACAGAGGCATAGGAATAAAGGAAGGCAAAAAAAACACATGGAGAAGAGAGCTGGAGAATAAAGTTAGAAAGATGGGGAGGACATGGGGAGAGCTCCATGCAAAGGCGACGGATAGAACGACTTGGCGTGAGTTTGTTGAGGGTCTATGCTCCTTTGGGGATAGAAAGGCAGAAGAAGACGAAGAATTTTTGTATCAACGTACAGCAAACAAAGTGTTGGTGCTTGTAAGGTTTTCCGACCAGAAAGTGAGTGACTTCCCTTCCTGTTCATGCTTTCGTCGTGTCGCAGAGCCTGTTTTATATTGCGGGGGTGTTCACGCTTAGCGATAGGCCAACAACACGTAGTATATTACTCGTTGTTGTCAGCGGCCGATGTTATCGCGTGTTCTGTATTCCACGATGTGGGCGCTTCTAACGGTCCCAAAACATGATGAACTGGCTCTAACCACAACCCCCTAGCCCACAACCTCTGCCTATGTCCCATGAATAAGTGCAACCTACGTGCAGTCTACATCCATGACTGCATACAGCCTATAATATACGTGCACAGACAGCTGTGCGACCTAGGCTGCATGCAGTCGTGGAACGTAGTCTGGGGCTGTGGGGCAGGGGGTTGAGGTTAGGGCCAGTTCTTCATGTTTAGGGACCGTTAAAAGCGCTCACAACGTGGAATATGGAACACGCGATATAAACGACCGCTGACAACAAACAGTAAATAAATACTACTTATTGGTGGCCGGTCACTGAGCGTGACACCCCTGAAACCTAGGACAGGCCCTGTGACGAGGTATCAATGGGAAGGGAGATAACTAAATTTCTGCCCCCCCCCCCCCCCCAAAAAAAGCGTTACTATAACCATATTGGGGGGGGGGGGGTTGGATCCTATTTATTTATTTGGGTTTGTATTTAAATGTTAATCGTCATGTGTTACTATAATAACAGTGTATTGTGCGTAAGAAAATACATTTTTAAATCTGAGTTTATTGACCCCTGGAACAGAATAAATTTAACGCCATCTCGAAACGGAGTATGTTCGAATTCCGAGGTATCAGTGTATTTTGTTTCTCCTGTGAATGCTGGTAGTCGAACGTCTGCGATGAGAATACCGTTTAAAAAAAGAATAACGCTCTACCGTTTTAGCAACCCTGTTAGCTGATTTTAGCCGAGATAAACATGCCGTCTGCTACAATATAAAAATGTCCAAATGCGCTGTCTGTAGCAACTTTTGCCATTAGTGTCAGACCGTGCATCAACCAGAATACGACACAGGGAAGTAAACGCATAGGGGGGAAAAAAGCTTTCCGAGGATTTAAATAAATCACAAAGGATTATAAGCAGTGTGAGACTAGATCAGGATTTATAGTAGTGAAAACAAGTGAAATTACACACCGAGTGATAAATGAGAAGTTTTATCTTGACATGGTTTAAAAAAAAACAACAAAAAACTAATGCAATTAATCACCAACATAAATACCATGATTCGTCGTTACAGCAACTAGAAACCAAGAGCAAAGAAAGGAGATAATGGGCTATAGACTTTTTTAAAAAAACTCTTGTTATCCCTCTCTGGAATGCAATTTTTCGTTATTTGAAGCCCGACTCTGGCTCTTGTCAGGGGTCGCAGTATAGTCCGGCTATAAATATGGCCTAATGGCTGAACGTGGTTTCCTGGGACCTCTCTACGGGTGATCCTCATCCGTATGGTGGCACTTTTTGTCATCGAGTGTTTATCGCTTGTGTGATGGGAGTGGGGTAAAATGTACTACTACTATTATTATTATGGTCACAACAATGTGCACACCGAGATTTCCCTTCGACTGTATACAGGACACGAGATGAATGCTAAGCGTACATTTCATTGACGTTCGAACATTTTAGTCTCATTTTTGATCATATTTAGTGCACTAAAATGCTAGTGCATTTCAGTCTTCCTACTCCTCCCCTTTCTTTTACCCTTCCTGGTCTTTCTCCTCCTCCTCTTCCTCCTTCTTCTTCTTCTATGCATTTTTGTGTGTGTCTCTGTCATCACCTTCATGATTATTACATCACCTTGGGTTGGTGATTATGGCTCGCCATCGCACACGATCACAAGAAAAACACATCAGGTTAGAACTCTTATTTCCCACCTCCGTGTAGCCAAATCTTCAGAATATTGATTTATCCTCCCCTTTTCTATATTTCTGTCAAGCAAGCCAGTTGTCTCCTAATTCTCAAGTTTAATGAAATCACATTAATCACAATCTCATAAAAAATTTAGCCTCACTTGTACCATTGTTATCGTCTTCTATTTGTCTAAACAGTAACGTAACCATATAAGATATTCAAACATGTTCACCATTCAGGTTTGGTTTAACGACTTGTTCTCTCTTTTTCTTTTCTTTCAGGGCATGTTTGTCATTTGCGACCAGGAATGTTGCTGCTAACGATTGGTCCCCACCAGCTAACATCTGCCTGTCTGTGAAGAGGGAAAATCATCGTCCCAAGACATCAAGCACGGTTCTGTCTGCATGTAGAAGACGCTACCCTCCACAAGGGCATCCCGGAAATTTGTAGAATCAGCGGTTTGCTGTCGCACTGAATAAACTGCAATCATCCTCGATCCCGAATAAACGATATTCTTTCCGTGTGTCTAAACACAAGTAAAATAAACATTTCACTAATGGTAGATCCGTTTAGTGACAATTCAGTTTGTCGCCTGTCCTTCAAAGGCTGATATTACACAGTTATGATTGATTCTGTTTCCTGGCTCTAAAGTCAGAAAATGATTTGTTTGCGAATTCGGAAATATATTTGGATAAATGTGTCATCTGCTGAAACAGCCGAGTTTGATGAACTAGTAACAACTAACTGCCTCATGTGATTAAAATATTTTCGCAAACTGTACACAGTCACAATATCAAGTGGAACTAACTAAATTTTTACCTAAAATATTTTTTTTCACGTATGCATTTGTGAGCGACTATCTGTTAACAGACATACTAATCAACATGTCAACAACAGTAAACGGATTTAACTTGTCCCTACTGTACCTTCTGTGTACCTTATGTGGACCTTGCTTATCAAGTGGTAAGTATAACGTAGTTAATCTTTTACCGCATCTTCTTCTTCAGCCTTCCGAGCCCTTAAGGTTCACTGCTCCAGATATCACCCATCTCCAGTCATCTCTCTAAGACACAAGAGACTGGTATAGCGATCAGTAATTCATTGAATGTCCACCGTAGACAAGACAAGAGACTAGCGATGCAGAGTTCATATTTTTAGAAGTTAAACCACAAAATCACAGACCCATTATAGTTGGTTATCTCTACAGCAGTCCTAGCGCTGATAACATGTGGTATGAACACTTCACCAACATGATGGATACGGTGTTCATTAATGTAGGGGAAATTATACTTCTTGGGGACTTCAATAAAAATGCTATAAAATCCAACAAGGCGTGGGAAGACATAATTATCTCATTTAATGTCAAACAACTCATCATGCAAGCATAACAATATCGTCGTCAACTCTTATAGACCATATTTATGTAACATGTCCTGACAACATTATAGAATGCAAGGTACCCACTACAGCACTGAGTGACCATTATCCGGTAATTTGGCTGTGGAATAAAAGAGGAGTAAAATTGGTCAAGCAAACACAGGTGAGTGTTAAATTTAGAAGCTATCAAAATGGTAATCAAGATGCATTCCTACTAGACTTGTTCATTTCACCTCTTGGCCACGTTTGTCAGCATCCTGATTCAGATGACGCTCTGGAATATTGGCTGAAGACCTTCTCTAGGGTATTTGATAAGCATGTGACAGTAAGCAAGTCCGTGTAAGACATCAAACTAAATCCCCTTAAATCACACAAGAGGTAGTTGAAATTATGAGAGAGCGAGATAGGGCACACACAAAAAATCAGGATATAATCACATACTGGAGTATGCGAAACAAAGCCTAGTATACCATTCGTAAGAAGAAACATAACTTTTTTGAAAAGCCAGTAGTTGATAAAAGAAACAGCAAAGATATAGAGAAACATATTCATTATGTAGCTTCTCAACACTTAGATAGCAACAAACTTGTAGTGGATAACCAATCAGGCTTTCGACCAAACTATTCTTGCCATACTGCCTTAACTAACATGATAGAAACTGGCACCAGAATGTTAACGATGAGCAAATATGTGGCGGGGTGTTTATAGACTTTAAGAAAGCTTTTGACATGATAGACCATAACATTCTTTTAGGAAAATTAGAAACAATAAAATTTAAACCAAGGCTGTTAAAGTTAATAAAAATCCTTGTTTTTAAATAATGAACAAATAATCTCTAACACTAAATCCCTATTGTGGACCACTGCCTTAAATACAAGCTTACATCAAGGCTCTATTCTCGACTCTCACTCAGTATTTACATAAATCATCTTCCTTTATGTCTGACGTCGTCCTTCGATTTATTCGCAGACGATTGTACCATCTATGCAAATGCTCAAACATGTAATGTACTAGAGCTGTCATTACAAGAAGAATTAAATAATGTAGTCCAATGGAGCAGTGCAGACCGTATGCAAATAAACAATAATAAACGCAAGTCTATGCTAATAACGACAAGACAAAAACTATACAGTTTAGATTTACAGGGAGCGCTTCAACTCTACACGGTGCGGGGGGGGGGGGGGGGGGGGGGGGGTTGAAACTGTAACTGAGCACAAAGCACTGGGGTTGGTAATTGATGCAAATCTAACCTTCAACTCTTATGTACAAGCACTTGTAAAACAAACAGCTAAAATTGTTCGCAATTCGCAAAAAAAATTAAAAACTGTCAGATATTCTGTATTTCTCACATTCAGACATTTGTTAGACTATTGCTCTACACTCTACAGTATGGGATGGCTGTTCCAGCTTTGTTATCAAGCGGCTCACATCACTGCAAAAGCGCGCCATTCGCAATCATGTAACAATCATGAAACAGTGTGTTCTGAAACATATAAAGGTCTTATTCTACTACAGCTTTGTCAACGTCTACGTTTAATTAATGCGAAATGGTTCACAAAATATCCCGAAAGGCTCAAGTCACCAATGGCCGTTGTTTAAATATAATGGAAGGCATAGTAAACGCCTAAACATATTACACATCCCTAAACCTAGGATAGACCTATGAAAAATAAGTTTGGTGTACTCTGCAGCTTAATTGTGGAACTATCTGCCAAATCAAAAGTACCACTAGTCACTATACATACAGTCGGAAACTTTTCGAATATTATTTGAGCATATATTATGTGTCCCCATAGAAAATAAACAAATCTGTTAGAAAAAGCGCACATTTTCACTAGATATTTTACAACTGCTACGGTTTACTATAGTTAGAGATGTGCACATTCCAGTGCTTTTTTGTGTGTGTGAATATTTTGATGCTATTGATAACAATTAATTACATGATGTATTAATGAAATGATGAAAAAATTGAGGGAGACCTCGAAGGACAGAATGTTAGACGGGACCTGCGTGCTCAATTCTCAACCCTTTAAAAATACGGTTTGTTCGTTCGTTCGTTCTCTGGTTGGCCTTCTCTTTCCAGCTGGTGACACCAAGTGATTGCAAGTCTGTCTCTCTATGATATTCTCAAGGTGATGATACAAATCTTCTTGAATATCATCTTCTTTATCTTCAGCTGGTGCATGGACATTAGTCACTGTGATATTTGTCCATTTTCCTTTTATTCGTAACTTACTGATTCTATCATCAACAGCTTCGTCATGCTTTTCTGTTAACCTCTTTTTTGAAATTTTAGATGGGGTAAACTACCCCCGGAGGTGTCTCCACCTAACCGCGGTGGGGGAGCTTGTGTTTCTCAACAACCCCGAGAGCTATGCCGGCGGCGTTAGCGCAGCTACCAGCAGGGTCTCCTAAGCTGGAAAGGTTGAAGGGTAGAGAACAGACAAAGAGAGACACCCAGGTCCTCCAGGTTGGTGGTTGAAGCGTGGGGTCAACACCCCCACCTTCGTAAAGCTTCAGTTCGTCACGAAACAGAAATCTAAGCCTCGATTTTGGATGGATTGAAACTGAAAACGAAACTGGAACGTAAAGGACTTTGAGATTTGGAACATGGAATGTACGAACCCTGTACAGAGCTGGAGCAGCTGAAGAACTTCTTCCTCTTCTTAGAGTTCACCAGCTGTAAATTTCGGCGGAAAGTTCCTGTTGTTCATCCACTTCTGGACTGCAGTCCTCCACTATCTGATGGCCGTGACCTGAATGTCAGCGGTTCCCCGATGGTCAGCGCTGTTGAAATGAGTGGAAACTGGCCTGGCATTTTGGTTAGTGATGTCATGGAGGTGCTGGCGAAACCTGTCGGCTAAGCGAAGACCGGTTTCCCCGATGTACTTGATGTTGCACTGTTTGCAGATGATAGCATAGATGACGTTCCTACTAGTGCAGGAGAATTCCTCTTTGATGCTAAAAGTGCCTTTAGGAAAAGTCACATCTGAAGTATTCAGCACGTATGGGCAGGTGTTGCACTGAGATCTAAGGCAGGTCTTAGTGCCTGGATGAGTTGGGGCGGGTCCCCGTACTCTGCTGTGTACCAGTAAATCTCTGAGGTTGCGGTCCCGCTTATATGCCAGTAGAGGTGTCTATGAAAACACAGCGTTGGTTACTGGGTCCGCTCGGAGGATAGACATATGACGGAATAGGATGTTCTTGATAGCAATGTTATGAGGGTGGTAAGTTAAGGAAAGTATGGGTCTATCTATCTATCTATCTATCTATCTATCTATCTATCTATCTATCTATCTATCTATCTATCTATCTATCTATCTATCTATCTATCTATCTATCTATCTATCTATCTATCTATCTATCTATCTATCTATCTATCTATCTATCTATCTATCTATCTATCTATCTATCTATCTATCTATCTATCTATCTATCTATCTATCTATCTATCTATCTATCTATCTATCTATCTATCTATCTATCTATCTATCTATCTATCTATCTATCTATCTATCTATCTATCTATCTATCTATCTATCTATCTATCTATCTATCTATCTATCTATCTATCTATCTATCTATCTATCTATCTATCTATCTATCTATCTATCTATCTATCTATCTATCTATCTATCTATCTATCTATCTATCTATCTATCTATCTATCTATCTATCTACCTACCTACCTACCTACCTACCTACCTACCTACCTACCTACCTACCTACCTACCTACCTACCTACCTACCTACCTACCTACCTACCTACCTACCTACCTACCTACCTACCTACCTACCTACCTACCTACCTACCTACCTACCTACCTACCTACCTACCTACCTACCTACCTACCTACCTACCTACATCTATCTATCTATCTATCTATCTATCTATCTATCTATCTATCTATCTATCTATCTATCTATCTATCTATCTATCTATCTATCTATCTATCTATCTATCTATCTATATATCTATCTATCTATCTATCTATCTATCTATCTATCTATCTATCTGTCTCTGTCTGTCTGTCTGTCTGTCTGTCTGTCTATCTATCTCTGTCTGTCTGTCTGTCTGTCTGTCTGTCTGTCTGTCTGTCTGTCTGTCTGTCTGTCTGTCTGTCTGTCTGTCTGTCTGTCTGTCTGTCTGTCTGTCTGTCTGTCTGTCTGTCTGTCTGTCTGTCTGTCTGTCTGTCTGTCTGTCTGTCTGTCTGTCTGTCTGTCTGTCTGTCTGTCTGCCTGCCTGTCGATATTTGTTTGCAAGCACAGGCACCACTTTAATTCCATGCGGATGGACTAATGTCATCCCCACAACCCAACCCCGGTTACGCCCTATAGGCCAACCCCTCCCTCCCTCCTTAGACACTCAGTGTACGCTGTTGGCGTCAAACCCGTCCCTTTTTTTGCCCCTACGTGCGCGTTGGAGGTATATAGGCTGACCTTCTTTTCATTGAGCGACGTTTTTTCACCAGGGACACTAGATGAGTATCATTTATTCTATACATTAGAGTCCTATGTAGTCAAATTAACAGTTAGAGTCTATTTGTGTATGTGTACTGTGTTGTCCTTTATGTGCTGATGAAGGC